TGACCACATTTTCAATCCTTAAACCCTCGTAACTGTACGAAAATTGATCACAGATGAAATATCTTTTTAAAATTGAGCTCAAGACAACAAAAAAGTTTTCGGTTGATAAAAAATAATTTTGTCAATACTTCTTAGATAAAAAGTCAATTTTAACAAAGTTTTTTCTTTTCTAGAAACAAAGAAGACTGCTCGAATCAGGGCAAAGCCTTGAATAATCCGACGGTCTTTTGAGCTCTATGAAGCAGTGTTCAAACAAGAATCATGAATTTACAAAACGATAATGTTTTTGAGATTTTTTAAAAATTTTCCTCCTATGCGCCATATAAAGTACAAAAAGATATATTTCATTCCTGGTAATATATCAATTCTTTCAAACAGCCCGCTTCAACCAATTTGGAAAGATTGTAAGAGCGATTGAATTTCCGCTTATGCGTTAATTGCGCCAAGTATATCGCACTCTCATTGTATCAAATTGACCACATTTTCAATCCTTAAACCCTCGTAACTGTACGAAAATTGATCAAAGATGAAATATCTTTTTAAAATTGAGCTCAAGACAACAAAAAAGTTTCCGGTTGATAAAAAATAATTTTGTCATTACTTCTTAGATAAAAAGTCAGTTTTAACAAAGTTCTTTCTTTTCTAGAAACAAAGAAGACTGCTCGAATCAGGGCAAAGCCTTGAATATTTCGACGGTCTTTTGAGGTCTATGAAGCAGTGTTCAAACAAGAATCATGGATTTACGAGACGAAAATATTGTTGAGATTTTTTAAAAAATGTCCTCCTATGCGCCATATAAAGTACAAAAAGATAGATTTCATTCCTGGAAACATATCAATTATTTCAAACAGCCCGCTTCAACCCATTTGGAAAGGTTGTAAGAGCGATTGAATTTCCGGTTATGCGTTAATTGCGCCAAGTATATCGCACACTCATTGTCCCAAATTGACCATTTTTTCAATCCTCAAACCCTCGTAACTGTACGAAAACTGATCACGGGTGAAATATCTTTTTCAAATTGAGCTCAAGACAACAAAAAAAATTTCGGTTGATAAAAATTATTTTCTCAATACTTCTTAGATAAAAAGTCAATTTTAACAAAGTTCTTTCTTTTCTGGAAACAAAGAAGACTGCTCGAATCATGGCAAAGCCTTGAATATTCCGATTGTCTTTTGAGTTCTATGGAGCAGTGTTCAAACAAGAATCATGAATTTACAAAACGATAATTTTTTTGGAGATTTTTTAAAAACCGTCCTCCTATGCGCCTATAAAGTACAAAGTGATAGATTTCATTCCTGGTAGAATATCAATTATTTCAAACAGCCCGCTTCAGCCAATTTGGAAAGATTGAAAGAGCGATTGAATTTCCGCTTATGCGTTAATTGCGCCAAGTATATCGCACACTCATTGTCCCAAATTGACCATATTTTCAATCCTTAAACCCTCGTAATTGTACAAAAATTGATCACAGATGAAATTTCTTTTTAAAATTGAGCTCAAGACAACAACAAAAATTTCGGTTGACAAAAAATTATTTTGTCATTACTTCTTAGATAAAAAGTCAGTTTTAACAAAGTTCTTTCTTTTCTAGAAACAAAGAAGACTGCTGGTATCAGGGCAAAGCCTTGAATATTCCGACGGTCTTTTGATTTCTATGGAGCAGTGTTCAAACAAGAATCATGAATTTACAAAACGATAATGTTTTTGAGATTTTTTAAAAATTTTCCTCATATGCGCCATATAAAGTACAAAGTGATAGATTTCATTCCTGGTAACATATCAATTATTTCAAACAGCCCGCTTCAACCAATTTGGAAAAAATGTAAGGGCGATTGAATTTCCGCTTATGCGTCAATTGCGCCAAGTATATCGCACACTCATTGTCCCATATTGACCACCTTTTCAATCCTTAAACCCTCGTAACTGTACGAAAATTGATCACAGATGAAATATCTTTTTCAAATTGAGCTCAAGACAACAAAAAAAATTTCGGTTGATAAAAAATTATTTTGTCAATACTTCTTAGATAAAAAGTCAACTTTAACAAAGTTCTTTCTTTTCTAGAAACAAAGAAGACTGCTTGTATAAGGGCAAATCCTTGAATATTCCGACGGTCTTTTGAGGTCTATAGAGCAGTGTTCAAACAAGAATCATGAATTTACGAAACGATAATGTTGTTGAGATTTTTTAAAAACTGTCATCCTATGCGCCATATAAAGTACAAAAAGATATATTTCATTCCTGGTAATATATCAATTCTTTCAAACAGCCCGCTTCAACCAATTTGGGAAGATTGTAAGAGCGATTGAATTTCCGCTGATGCGTTCATTGCGCCAAGTATATCGCACACTCATTGTACCAAATTGACCACATTTTCAATCCTTAAACCCTCGTAACTGTACGAAAATTGATCACAGATGAAATATCTTTTTAAAATTGAGCTCAAGACAACAAAAAAGTTTTCGGTTGATAAAAAATAATTTTGTCAATACTTCTTAGATAAAAAGTCAATTTTAACAAAGTTTTTTCTTTTCTAGAAACAAAGAAGACTGCTCGAATCAGGGCAAAGCCTTGAATATTCCGACGGTCTTTTGAGGTCTATGAAGCAGTGTTCAAACAAGAATCATGAATATACGAAACGATAAAATTGTTGAAATTTTTTAAAAACTGTCCTCCTATGCGCCATATAGAGTACAAAAAGATAGATTTCATTCCTGGAAACATATCAATTATTTCAAACAGCCCGCTTCAACCCATTTGGAAAGGTTCTAAGAGCGATTGAATTTCCGGTTACGCGTTAATTGCGCCAAGTATATCGCACACTCATTTTCCCAAATTGACCATTTTTTCAATCCTTAAACCCTCGTAACTGTACGAAAACTGATCACGGGTGAAATATCTTTTTAAGATTGAGCTCAAGACAACAAAAGTTTTTTTGGTTGATATAAATTATTTTGTCAATACTTCTTAGATAAAAAGTCAAAATTTGTCTTGAGAAAAAAAAACATATTGAGCACAAATATTCCGTAATTTTCTTCAACAATCGGAACAAAAAGATTGCGCGCATAAGATTTCAGCATTATTGTGAAGAGTCTGATAGTTTTTTGATAGTTTTGAAAAAACTGAGAAGTGTGGATTTTTTTAGTTATCCCCCCTATGTCATGTGAGGCATGACGTGATATTTGTTGCTTCTACAGTTGCGTACTTAAAAGAGCTAACTACTTAACTCAGCTCAAATTGACATGAAAATTACGCTTTGAAAGGATAAAACACAGCGCGCGTTAATAAACGTGTTTTAAGTAGTTCCACATTTAATCCCCTAAATTAAGAACAAATGGCTGAAAGCAAAAATTATTTGTAGTTTTGAGCTTTGGAAACTCTTATCTTTTAGAAAACTTGCTAAGAATGACTGATTGATTAATCAAAATTTGTCTGAGGAAAAACTACGCAGATACAAATCGGAACAACAAAAAAACCGGAAAAAACTGAAACCTAGAAATGTTCGACACTCATAGTAAAATAGACAAAAAATGTTAAAAAAAAAGAATGACCAACAAAACAAAAAAATATCAAAAAAAAAAAAGAAATTCAAAAAAATTTCAATTTTTTTGCAGAGAGTTTTTTTGAACTTTTGAAGTTTTTTGTTTTGACATGGCGCTAAAAATATTCAAAAAATATCTTTTTGTGAGTAAAATTATGTTTTCATGGACTAAGTTGAGCATAAATAAGCTAGTGTAAGACTGCTCGCTCGCATTATTCGCTCGAATTTGGACAAAAAATCAAAAAGTTTAAACCCGTTTTTCTCAATTTTGGGACAATTTTTTCGAATAACGGCTGAAAGAGCTTTAATATGATATATAATTCTACCCGTTCCATTTTTAACTTGTGGTACTTGGTTTTGCGAGGAAAACAAAAAGAAACAAACGAAAAAAAGCTAAAGCACTCACAAATACAAAGTTCCCCCTTTTTTCAAATGATTAGGACGACAACATAAGTTAGCGATAAACACTGACTTTTGCTCACAACACAATTGTTGCCGAATGTAAGCACATCGGAACGGAACGAAGCCACGCAGGCATAATCTACTTTACCAATGCCGCGTTTCAAGTTAATGTTTCAGTTTGCTCATTGTTTTAAGAATGCTTTAAAGTCGGTCTGGGGTGATTATTTCTAGTTGAGATATTTTTCTTATGGAATCGGTGATGCAGTTGAGTAAATCATTGAGACTTCTTCAAATAGACGCTGACATGATAATAATTCTTCCAAGTTTCAAACATCCTCAAAGTCCAACTTTCTTCTCAATACATAGTCATCCAAGAGCCTTGCTCAAATAAATTTTACCATTTTTTTCTCTTGCAAAATTCATTTTGTTTGCTTGAAACTAAAAATCAAAAACGCCTAAAAAATTAAAAAGTCGAAAGGAATAAACAAAATAAGAGGCCCAGACCAATTTTTTTTGCAAATTACTGAGAGACATTTTGTTTACCGCCTCATTAGGCAAGAGCCATAAAAATATTTATAAAAAAAATTGAATAAACAAACCACTCATAATGATGTAAAACGCGAAAATTCGGAAAGGATACAATTGAGTAAAAATCACGAAAGAACGACTTATGTTCTGCTCATCAGTTTGTTTCAACATTGATACAGTGCTAAGGTCAAAAGTTTTTCCTTACCCTAAGCTTGAGTCTCTTTTTAAAAAAGTATCTTCAAATTTCAATCACTCTTTATCCAGCAAATCTGTTTTAAAAAGCAGGTTATTTTGAGTAATTTTTATCTGACCCGCACTTTTGTAAGCAACAAGCAGCATATGAAAAATTTCCCAAAATTTATGAGGTTTCAAGGTAACAAAGTGAGCTCGGGTTTTTGAAGTCGTCAATCTTAATAAAATTGTTCCTATTTTGGTAGGTCCGCTGACCCTCCTGCTGCATTTTTCCTGTCGAAAAAGAAAACTTTGCTTCATTGAAAAGGTTAAACCGCGCACTTAGTGTCCTAAGAAATGATTGCAATGGGTAAATTTTATCACCATTTAAAATATTCATTATTCAGTAATCTTATTTGACATTAAGAATCTCCTCTTCGTTCTTCTTTGTCTGCCTTCTGCTTCGTGTGTTGTTTCTGATCACAGTATTCTTTTGGAAGCAACAAGTCACATATAAGTAATGTTGCTTTGACCTGAAAAAAAGCGATTGGTTAGTTAAGTCTCTATCACTCAAATGAAGTGTAGGTAAATTGAGCGCCCATGACAGGCCAATTTATTGATTGGTATGGCTCTTTTTCCGCCCCTCCACCCAACCTGTAAAGTTTTCAACTAAACATTTTGCTTACATTGTTCACATAGTCCGATTGCTATGATAACTGACATGATGACTAATTAGGGCATGGAAAACGTTTTTGGTTTTCATAAAGCCACTTGTTACACACAAAAAAATGATGCTCGTGTGAGGTGGGGGAAGGGGGGGGGGTGAGGAAGGAAAAACAGCCATTAACTGGTATTCGATTACTCTATGGAACCTCAAACGCAGGGTAATTTTCAACAACTGCATTACACAAAGCATTCAGAAATTACACAAAGTTTTCAAATGATAAGAGGTAATAAAATTATTGAAGCGCACCCTGCTTTTTAGGGAAATGGCGTCTTCCTTGGAATTTATCGGACTGAATATCCAAGGCTTTTACTCCGAACGGCTCTCGCGGTTCGTTCACACCCCCGTTTCTTGGCGGATCGAATGCGTGGCTCTCCCAATATGGTATTCCGAAGTGGCGACTTTCAGGGTGTTCCCAAGTTCGTTTCAGATCAGCCTCTACTGCACAGTATGACTCACGTTCAATATACAGCAGACGCTGTCTCTCAGAGCCCTGAAAAAAAAACAATAAAACGAAGTGTTAAAACTAAAAGAAGGTTTGGGGTTCGATCCGTGCAGAGGCAGAAACAAACTTTCAAAAACTCTTTGCTGGCCTAAAAAATGCAGCCGCGCTTTTAAATTCATGCCGGCTGTTGCAGCGTTTGATTGGATCATTAAATTCAACTTTTCAGGCCCCCAAACTTCATGATCCACATTCGAACTCTCCTTGTCCTCCGGTTTTAGTTTCTGGCATTCCTCACTTCTGAAGATTTTTGCAATTACATTGAAAAAAAACAACAAACATTTACCAATTAGTTATAAAATAGTACTGATAACTATGGCGAGCACCACTATGAGGTCGCAATAAAATCTCTGATTTTAATGAGGTACCTTTTCTTATTAGGAGCGAGTCAATTTTAGGAGCGGAGGGAAATAGTGCGCAATATAGCCATCAAAAATGACAACAATCTTCCCTTCTGAAAGTTACATTTCTTCAAAAAAGTCATAAAATGAAAACTTAAAATTTACCTATATGCAAAAAAGTGAGCGAGTTCAAAATCTTTCCTCAGCCCTCAATTTTAAACGAAAATAAAATTCAAAAATTCACCTGGAAAACCGTCCTTGAGGCCCCTGATGCTGCCTGGCTAGATTTCCTAGAATTTTGTTGCGACTGTTGATTACTGCCATTTACCTTCTGATTACTGTTTTTGCTGCCATCAAAATTCACCATTTTGTTGTTATTGTGGATTTTTGCTGATATATCTTCTTGCTTATTCCGTGTTGAATGAATAACAGAGGTGAATATTTTATTTATGGCTCATTTTTCTGTGCGCCTGATATGGATGGTTGATTGCAAATTACAACAATATACAGGTTTTTCGCATATACGGAGTTCGGGTATAAACAGACGCTTTTATCCTAGCAGTTCATTAAGAACTTTTATATAGTTCAGATTTATAAGGTTTTAAGGCGCTTTTCACCTTAAAGTGCATTCAACTTTCAAACAGCTTCAAAAAATAACTAGGTGCTTTCATTGAAAAATCGACGACTCAATGTTCGGGGACGGCGGAGGCACTCAATTATGTTGCCATTTTTTAAAATCAAAGTGTCTTCCCTTCGCTTCTATTTAAAAACAGCCTTTCCCGCACTGACAGAAATGGTTTCCGGCCAATTTAAATTAATTTTAAATCGATTTTAAATCGATCCAAATCGATTAACCATGTACATTTTACGAACTTAAATGGATTTTAAATCGATTTAAATCGATCTTTTTGAAAATTTTAAATCAATTTAAGTGTCTAAAAATCGATTTAAATCGATTTCGATGGATTTTCCGACTCACTAAAATCCATCCGAATCTCACTTAAATCCATTTTAAATCGATTTAAATCGATATTTTTGAAAATTTTATATCGATCTAAGTGTCTAAAAAATCGATTTAAATCAGAATCGATGGATTTTCCGACACATTAAAATCGATTTTTTGCTAACACGGCGAAAAAAACATACCCTTCAAAAAAATTGTTGCCATTTTTTATTCTCGATTTTTTAGATATAAACACTCGTGCCAGATATTATAGAATTCAATAAAATGATCCACATAAATCAGGTTTTAAACTCAAAAATTTGCAATAAAATCATAGAAAACGATTGTAAATCCGATTATGGGCAAAATCTTGTGTAACAAACTAGAAAAGGGTTAGGTAAAATTAAATTGTGATCTCAATAATATGCAATAAAATTATAGAAAATCATGAAAGTAAATCAAATTTTAAGCAACAACTTATGAAACGAATCAAGCAAAGGGTGGGTTAGACTTTTATCGATATTTTGGTCTTTTTATTTGGTCTTTTTATGCTACAATACGCTATCGATGTAAAATGAAAAATGATAGGCAAGAAATAAATGCAATAAAATTTTGAAACTGATAAAACTCGAAAAAAAATCAATTTAAATTGATTTAAATCCGTTTTAATCCCCTTAAAATTAAAAACAATTTCGGACTGGAAAAAATGCATTTAAAATGATTTAAAATCGATTTGGATCAATTTTTTAGCTGGGATTTAAGATCAATTTAAATCGATTTTAAACCGATCCAAATCAATCTTCAGCTCTTTAATTTAATCTTCGTACTTTTTTCATACTAAAACCGATCTAAATTTAATCAACGTACTTTTTTCATACTAAAATCGATTTAATTTTAATCAACGTACTTTTTTCATACTAAAATCGATCCTAATCCATTTTTGTTAGTGCGGGTTCAGACTGATCTATATTAAAAGTTGTTACCCGTGACGAGTGTAGGGGGGGGGTAAACATTATAGTAAACAATTCACAAAAAGTGTAGTAAACATTTTATGTTGGCAAAAAATAATCATTTTTTGAACAACAACAGTTGAATAGAATGTAAAAAAAATGAATTTTTATACATTTTTGAATGTTGAAAAAATTGATGAAAATGCTCTAAAAATCCGTTTTCATGGATACATGGGTCATGAAAATTGACTAAAACGGTTAAGTTTAGTGTCGATTAACCATGTACTTTTTACGAACTTAAATGGATTTTAAATCGATTTAAATCGATCTTTTTGAAAATTTTAAATCAATTTAAGTGTCTAAAAATTGATTTAAATCGATTTCGATGGATTTTCCGACTCACTAAAATCCATCCGAATCTCACTTAAATCCATTTTAAATCGATTTAAATCGATATTTTTGAAAATTTTATATCGATCTAAGTGTCTAAAAAATCGATTTAAATCAATTTCGATGGATTTTCCGACACATTAAAATCGATTTTTTGCTAACACGGCGAAAAAAACATACCCTTCAAAAAAATTGCTGCCATTTTTTATTCTCGATTTTTTTGATATAAACACTCGTGCCAGATATTATAGAATTCAATAAAATGATCCACATAAATCAGGTTTTAAACTCAAAAATTTGCAATAAAATCATAGAAAACGATTGTAAATCCGATTATGGGCAAAATCTTGTGTAACAAACTAGAAAAGGGTTAGGTAAAATTAAATTGTGATCTCAATAATATGCAATAAAATCATAGAAAATCATGAAAGTAAATCAAATTTTAAGCAACAACTTATGAAACGAATCAAGGAAAGGGTGGGTTAGACTTTTATCGATATTTTGGTCTTTTTATTTGGTCTTTTTATGCTACAATACGCTATCGATGTAAAAAGAAAAATGATAGGCAAGAAATAAATGCAATAAAAATTTGAAACTGATAAAACTCGAAAAAAAAATCGATTTAAATTGATTTAAATCCGTTTTAATCCCCTTAAAATTAAAAACAAATTCGGACTGGAAAAAATGCATTTAAAATGATTTAAAATCGATTTGGATCAATTTTTTAGCTGGGATTTAAGATCAATTTAAATCGATTTTAAATCGATCCAAATCAATCTTCAGCTCTTTAATTTAATCTTCGTACTTTTTTCATACTAAAACCGATCTAAATTTAATCAACGTACTTTTTTCATACTAAAATCGATTTAATTTTAATCAACGTACTTTTTTCATACTAAAATCGATCCTAATCCATTTTTGTTAGTGCGGGTTCAGACTGATCTATATTAAAAGTTGTTACCCGTGACGAGTGTAGGGGGGGGGGTAAACATTATAGTAAACAATTCACAAAAAGTGTAGTAAACATTTTATGTTGGCAAAAAATAATCATTTTTTGAACAACAACAGTTGAATAGAATGTAAAAAAAATGAATTTTTATACATTTTTGAATGTTGAAAAAATCGATGAAAATGCTCTAAAAATCCGTTTTCATGGATACATGGGTCATGAAAATTGACTAAAACGGTTAAGTTTAGTGTCGATTAACCATGTACTTTTTACGAACTTAAATGGATTTTAAATCGATTTAAATCGATCTTTTTGAAAATTTTAAATCAATTTAAGTGTCTAAAAATCGATTTAAATCGATTTCGATGGATTTTCCGACTCACTAAAATCTATCCGAATCTCACTTAAATCCATTTTAAATCGATTTAAATCGATATTTTTGAAAATTTTATATCGATCTAAGTGTCTAAAAAATCGATTTAAATCAATTTCGATGGATTTTCCGACACATTAAAATCGATTTTTTGCTAACACGGCGAAAAAAAACATACCCTTCAAAAAAATTGTTGCCATTTTTTATTCTCGATTTTTTAGATATAAACACTCGTGCCAGATATTATAGAATTCAATAAAATGATCCACATAAATCAGGTTTTAAACTCAAAAATTTGCAATAAAATCATAGAAAACGATTGTAAATCCGATTATGGGCAAAATCTTGTGTAACAAACTAGAAAAGGGTTAGGTAAAATTAAATTGTGATCTCAATAATATGCAATAAAATCATAGAAAATCATGAAAGTAAATCAAATTTTAAGCAACAACTTATGAAACGAATCAAGCAAAGGGTGGGTTAGACTTTTATCGATATTTTGGTCTTTTTATTTGGTCTTTTTATGCTACAATACGCTATCGATGTAAAATGAAAAATGATAGGCAAGAAATAAATGCAATAAAAATTTGAAACTGATAAAACTCGAAAAAAAAATCAATTTAAATTGATTTAAATCCGTTTTAATCCCCTTAAAATTAAAAACAAATTCGGACTGGAAAAAATGCATTTAAAATGATTTAAAATCGATTTGGATCAATTTTTTAGCTGGGATTTAAGATCAATTTAAATCGATTTTAAATCGATCCAAATCAATCTTCAGCTCTTTAATTTAATCTTCGTACTTTTTTCATACTAAAACCGATCTAAATTTAATCAACGTACTTTTTTCATACTAAAATCGATTTAATTTTAATCAACGTACTTTTTTCATACTAAAATCGATCCTAATCCATTTTTGTTAGTGCGGGTTCAGACTGATCTATATTAGAAGTTGTTACCCGTGACGAGTGTAGGGGGGGGGGGGGTAAACATTATAGTAAACATTTCACAAAAAGTGTAGTAAACATTTTATGTTGGCAAAAAATAATCATTTTTTGAACAACAACAGTTGAATAGAATGTAAAAAAAATGAATTTTTATACATTTTTGAATGTTGAAAAAATCGATGAAAATGCTCTAAAAATCCGTTTTCATGGATACATGGGTCATGAAAATTGACTAAAACGGTTAAGTTTAGTGTCGATTATTTTCCATGAAACTCTAGTGCGGGCACGGTATATATAATTAAAGCTCGGTATATTGAATCGTTATAACACGCGTAAGCGGCAAATCACTGCGTTCCAAATCAAACTGATGCAAGAAAATTAGTCGTAATATTAGCATACAGAACACTAAAATAATCTTTTTGTAATTTACATTAACATGTGGAGGGATAAAGAAAAAAAATGGATAAAACAGCTTTTTCAATTTCTTTTCCAATTATTTGATCTATTTTTAGACCAAAAAAATTTCAATTAGCTTCAAACTGCAGTCATAGCTATAGCGACTGCGTTCTGATGTCTCAGTCTCATTATACTTTTCAATCGGTCTTCGTTTTTTTGATGGTTAATGCAACAAGACTGCTGGTATCAGGGCCACAACCTGAATGTTCCGACTGCCCCTTTATCGTTTATGCAGTCAAACTTATCCTGATCATTTTTCAATTTTCTTCTAGTTTTTTTTGAAAATCATCCCCCCAAGCGCTATTTACAGAATAAATTAATAAATTTCGTCTATAGCAAAGTGTTAATTGGACCAAGAGGCACGCCTCAATTCAATATAGAACGGTTTATAATAAATCGGATTAAATCATTGATTTTGCGTTGGTAGCACGAATTCCGCCTGTTAACTATCCCAAATTGACG